CCCCGGGCCTGACCCCCGGCGCCTCGGGCCGTGACTCAGCCTCCGGGACCCGGGGGATAAACACCGTGAGCGAAATCACGAGGTGCCCGCCCGGCCGCGCGTGCTCGCTTTTGTCGCGTCTTTCACTTCCTCTTTGGTTTTTTGGTTGGTTGTTGTTTGGTTTTTTTTTTAGCGTTCTTTCCAGGTTTTCTGGCTTTTCTGTCTTCCTTAGGGAGGTGTGTGTGTGGGGGGGGCACTCCCCAGCCAGCAGCCCCCTGAAACCCTGCTGAGCGCAGCCCCCCCAGCCTGGCGGGGGCTCAGCCTGCCAGGACTTGGGTCTCCCCCCTGCTGCCACCAGCGGGGTTTAATTTGGCAGCCGGGCTCTCGGGGATGCCTGCACCCCCCGGCCAGCCCCACACTTCTCCCTGGCACACCCCCACTTTGGGCTGCACTCATCCCTCCAGGCTGGGTTTTTCGGGGGGAAACGGGCATATCCTCAACCATAGCTTGTTTGCGAGGGGTCAGGGGGTGCCAATCCAGATGTGCCCTCCCCTCAAAATGCCACCGTGGCGGTACCGGCTCCCCTACAGCCATCGAGGGTGGTGCTGGTGCCATGCAGAGCCCAGGGGGCGCACCGGACACCAGCAGACCCTGAGGTCCACCCTCCACTCCCCCTCAAATGCAGGGCTGAGCATCAGGATGGGGTCTCTGCCACCATGGGGTATCGCAGCAGGACTCAGAGGTGCCACCCCACCAGCCTGGGAGGCAGTGGGAAGAGCTAATCTCTTCCCAGTTCACCCCAACTGAGCTCTTAAGGAGCCATGAGACCAGCTGGAAAAAAAACCAACCAGCCAACCAGATTTACAGACACTTTTTCTTCCAAGTCCTGAGGTCTAGGGGTGTTTGTTTTCTGCTCCTGCTTGTGCCCAGCCTCAGGGACAGGAGAGCAATAGGCCTTGGGATGAACTGGACACTGCTGAAATGGCGGGGTGTCTGCCCCTCACCCACTTCCTTCGCGTTCATGTAACTTCTGGAAAATCACTGGGTCATGTTGCTGGCACCTTGCTTGCGCCACCTCCTCCCCACCCTCCCTCTCCAAGACGCTTCCATCCTTCCACGGCCTCCCACAGCATCCTGCTGCCCCGGGTCTGTGCCTGCTGCCCCCCGACTGTGGTTGTGCCCAGTGTTTTTAGGGGGTACTTCTGCCCTGGGCTGCGCTTTGTCCCACTAGCTCTCCAAACTGCCGTGCCTTGGTCAAGCTGAGGGTATCGGGAAACCTGCTGCCTCCCCATGGGACATGGCACCCATTGGAATGAAGTTTTCCGGAGCGATGGCCAGAGGCGTTAGCTGAGCCCGCTGCATCCCGTTATTTCGGCCAGCCCCTACTTCCCTCCTGCCTTGCGGGCATGTGGTCAAGGCGAATGCCACTGACCCTGAGTCAGCAAAACACAGCGTCCTCCCGGCCCCGCGGCGCTGTGTGACTCAGCAAAACCCCGTGTGGCTCTTTTGGGGCAAGGAGCCAAGGCATGGTGGGCCCCCACATCTGTAGCCTGACTCCAGAGGCATCGCTGCTGCCGTGGGCTCCAGCTCGGGGGTACCCTCTTGTCCCCCAGGATACCGCCAGCCCCACGAGTGCCTGCAGGTGGGAGTGGGTGAGACAGAAACTAACCCAACTGTGGTCCCACCCAAGCAAACCCACCCTCCCCGAGGGCTCTAAGCCCCTTTGCAAATGTGCTTTGCAGACAAAGAGGACAATCCTGACGCCAGGCCCGGGGCTCCCCTGCACCCTTTCAGGCTCTCCCAGACCACGAGGTTGGAGCCGGCAAGATACGAGTCCTCCTCCCTCCTCTTTGAAGTGGTCGGGAAACTGCAGCCAGCCAGGCAACATGCATCTGGCCCCACAGCTCCTCTGCAAGCGTTTCCAGTCCAGCCAGTCTCTCCCAGCATCTCGTGGCTCTGGAGCGGGCTCAGGGATGGGTGGTGAGGATGGCACACCATGCTAGCCCCGTCCCATCAGGCAGTGCACAGCAAAGGCTTCCAGCAGGGTCAAGCAGTCCGGACCCAGTCCGTGTCTGTTTTTTTTAATTCCAGGGGATTAAGGGCAAGCTTTGCTGTTAGCAAAGCTGTTATGAATGAGCCTTTGCTTGGGCTTCGTGGTAGCAGGGCTGGAGCTGCCCTCATACCAACACAGGAGGGTTGCTGCTTTTAGATGTGCTTCTCTAAGTGACTTATGTATCCATTACACTGGTGAGCTCAGACACTTCCCACTGGTTTACTGGGAAAAAGGGACGATGCTGCCATGTTGGGGAATGTGAAGGTACTGATCCTCTCCTGGGTGCTCACTGGGTGGGAAGGGACAGGGGAGCTTATCCCCAGAGTGCTTAATTTGGCTCAGGCCCTTGGCACCAGTGGTTTCAGAGCTGACACCGCTGTGCCTCACACTGACACTGGGGGACCGGTAGCCCCAGCAAGGAGCAGGATTTCTGCCTTTGGGCTCCCTCAGCACCCCCATGAGATGTTTGCCCTGATGTCAAGGCCTTGAGAGGTGCAGTGGGCATATTTAATCAGGAGCTAGGAGCATGTCTGGATATTTATAGGCTGGGAACATTGAGTGTTGCACCATGTTTTATCTTCAAAAGAGAGACTGGCATGAGCCTGGACTTAGGGATTTTTACTCATTTTTCCTTGTTTGCAGAGCAAGAGCTGGAATGCCGTGGCTGAGACACCTGGAGCAGTCAGAGACGTGCGAGACATGGCCGAGGGACCTGTCCCTCCTCGCTCCTATTTTTGGTATGGTGGATGAACCCCTTTCCTTGCCGATCTGTCTCCTCAGCCCTGCTCATCCCCCTGGCTCCAGAGGGTGAGCTGAAGCACCGTCCTCTGCAGTCACAGCCGTGGGTGTGGGTGACGCGCCCCTGGGAGCGGGCCACGCTTTCGCAACCTCGATCCCTGCTGGAGAGGATTCCCAAGGGGACGGCTGAGTGACTCAGCCCCAGCGGCTCCTGCAGGGAGGAGCACCCCAGCCCCAACCCTGGGAGATTGGTGTCCCCATCCACGGGTGACACTGGGGTGTCCCACCTGACCTTTGCCGCATGACCACGGGCTTGATGCTTCTTAATTTCAAACTATTTTTTGGGGGGCTCTAGCAGCTCCTCTGTGTGCAGTCTGGCAGCACTCTGGTGGGGATGCTATGGTGACCTCTTTCTCCTTACATATGGCTGTGTGTTTGCCTTCACCCTTTCCTCGATGTGGTTGGTTTGGGTTTGTTTTTTTTTTTTTTATTTATTTATCATGGTGGTAGCCAATGCCCTGAATTGCAACGACCAAGGAAAGCTTCAGTTCAGAAATGCCGATTATTTTTTGGCCAAGACGTATAAAATGCAAAGCTGCAGGTGGGATTTCTAATTGACAAACATCTTCAAATTCACAAAAGATGGGTTCGGGATTTTGCAGCTCGTTGCTAAAAGACAAAAGAAAACTGTACCTCAGTCTGAGCCTAGCAGAGCCTACAGGTGCACAAGCCTGGGCAGGTCTGGTTGCAAACACCCTGACTCCAACTCAAGGTCCCAGTGCCGGTGTGAAGCTGCTGGATGCAGCTAATTAGCAGAGCCTGATTCACCAGCCCTGAGCCCCCGAGCAGTGCCATGGTAATTTTTTCCCGGCGCAGTGCCAGGACCTCACCCACTCCCAACACTGTTTCCTACACCGATGTACAGTTCAGAAGATGAGGGCGCGTTTTCCAGCAGCACTATCACATCCCAAATTACACCCTTTTTCTGGGTGACAACCTGCAAAAGCAAACCTGAAGGTGCTTTAGTAACAGCTCCAGCTGATGGGGAACCGGGGAGCAGGGGAGGGTTTGCACTGAGCATAGAAAAGGGACTCATCCAGGCCCTGGCCACCGTGTCCCAGCGCTGCAGGTGCTGGGGGAGATGTCTTGGGCATCATGGGCAGTGGCAATCCTGGTCCATCGGTGCCAGCTGTCTGGGGCTGGTTTTGAGGCAGAGCTGGCCAGCAGCCTGCTTAAACATTTTTTGGCTGCCAGCATGGGCTGCAGTGACCTTGGGGAGACACTAAGTGAAGTTGCAAAAGGCTTAGGCTGGGTGGTAATTGTTCCCTTGGAACAGTGTTTCTCACCCTGCAAACCCTGGTCCTGGTGGTGGGTGACGGTGGCTCACCAGCGGCGGTCTGGATGTCACTGGCAGGCAGGAGCCTTGACTGTGGCTCCATCCTCGTCAGGGCTGTTTGCAGAAACCTTTGAGCAGGGGGTGCTTTCACCCCAGTGGACCTTCTCCACTAGATCCTTCTCTTTCAGCCTTTCCCCTCGCTATTAAAAAAAAAAAAAAAAAGAAAAGGCTTTATGCAGCAAAATGCTTACAGATTTTAAGCCTGTGAGCTGCCCTGGTGTCTTCACTAGGTTTACTTGTCCCTGCCCTGCCTCGCTGGGCTACTACCAAACTTGGCATCGCCTGTTGCCATGTCCCACGCATTCTGTGGCCCTGCCCAAATCCCCACCATCCCTGCGTCACCTGCCTGTGCCTGACCCCGCTCAGTGTCGGACATCCTTCCGCATCCCCCGGGCCGTCCTCCCCCGCGGCTGGGGACATGCCTGGCACCCACCTTGGGGAGGAGGGGACCTGCCTTACCCTGGCTGCCAGACCTGTCTGCTCCTCGAGGCAGAGATCTCGTGGTGTTTGCCTCACCCGAGTTATTTTGCAGCAGGCTGAAATTGCTGGGGATGGGCAACAACAACTCTGGCAGGCGCTGGCAGGAGGCAGCGTGACCAGCGGCTGACGGGATGGGGTGGTAAGCAGCAACGATGGCAGCGATTCATCTCCTCCCACGCCAGGATGTGATGGGGAGCACTGGGACCCGACTCACCTCGTCACCTGCCTTGAGCAATCCCCGCTCCGGTCCCTGGGGCCACGCGAGCCTGACTTGGGGCAGGGGGGTATTGGCTCGCCAGTGGGGGTTCCATGTATGATGCAAAGCTGTGCCTCCAGCCACATCTAAGCACACCATCCATCTCATTTTCTTTGCCAGCACTAGATGCCATTTAATTATTTCCTTTAATTTCCAGCCAAAGCTCCCCTGAGAAGACCATCATTTATGCAGTCACATCTTCTCCGTGTGACAAAGCACCGAAGCAACTGAGCCTTCTGGTCTGGGAGGAGGGTGGGCTCAAAAAGATGAGGGTCAACACCCCATGGTGACCCAAGGATCGGCTTAAAATTGCAATGTGTTTCCTTGGAGTGGGAGCAACCACTGAGCTTCCACTGGTGATTTGGTGAATCAATCCCAAGCTCCTGGGGCGGTTGTTGCTGTGTGAGTATGCCCATAAAAGCTCTTAATTCCTACCTATTTATTTTCACCTTCTAAGCTCCAGTTTCACTTGCTGCCATGGCCAGCATTTTCCAACGTGCCTGCCTGAGGTTAAGATCTTGAACCCACATTTAAGCACCTCGGCAAACACAGTCCACGGCTTTGCACACCCTCTCTTTGAGCTTCTGCACACAGAACACCCTATTAATAATTATTTGCAGCATGGGACTTGGCATCTCAGCTTCTCTGGCTGCAAACCCCTGAGTGTTTCCCAAGGCGCTCTGCCACCAGGGTCGCTTAGGGTTAGGGTTATGGCCACAAATGTGAAGATGCTTTGCCCCGTGCTCACAGTTGGAGGCACTTGTAGGTTATGGGTGGAGGGAGGTGCAGGAGCATCCCTGCAGGACACCGCAGCTGTGCCTGGGTCCTGCAGCCTCCAGCATCCTCTCCCACTGCAGCCAGGAGTCAATCAAGCCGAACTGCTTGGACACTGCCAATGCAGATGTCTGTTAGCAGCTAAATACCTACCAATCTTCCCTCCCTGCAGCGCCACCATTTAATAAAAAATTCTTTTCTCTGTCATAGTGCTGAGCTGGGTTTTGTGTGTGGTTTTTTTTTTTTTTTGTTTGGGTTTTTTTTTGTTTTTTTTTTTGTTTTTGTTATCAGTGCAACTCTAAACTGACAGGTACAGTGGGTGGCAGATTAAGGGCATGCTCCTGGGCAAAGGTCTCCTACAAGCTCCTCAGGGCCAGCTGGCTGCAGCCTCTGATCTCTGGGGTCACGCGTCCCCCCTGAAACAAGAGCCACTTGTTTGGCACTGCTGGCAAGGCTGGGCTTGGCAGAGAAGGCAGCTGGCCTGCCCGCCTCTGAGCGGGGCAGGGGCATTGCCTTCTTCATATATCCTGGGAGTGTCCCAAGCAGTGGCAGGTCAGTGCCGGGGGGGCCCCAACACCAAGCAGGGGTGGTGCAGGATTGCTGGAAAGTCAATGGCCAGAATGAAGTGCTCCCTTTGCACCCCTGTGCACGTGTTCATTTCTTTTCCTGGGGTGTAAACATGTGAAACACAGCAGGGCTCAAAGGGAGCCTGTCCCTGTGGGTGGTATGGTGCTGTGACCTGCTCCTATCTTGCCCTGGACCCCAAACCTGAGATCAGAGAAGCTGATATTTAAGAGGAGGCTGAGGGGAGACCTCATCACCCTCTACAACTCCCTGAAAGGAGGTTGCAGAGAGGTGGGGATGAGTGTCTTTAACCAAATAACAAGCAATAGGACAAGAGGGAATGGCCTCAAGCTGTGCCAGGGCAGGGTCAGGCTGGCTCTGAGGAAGTACTTCTTTGCAGAAGGGGCTGCTGGGCATTGGAATGGGCTGCCCAGGGCAGGGGGGGAGTCCCCATCCCTGGAGGGGTTGAAGAGTCTGGTTGACCAAGTGCTGAGGGATCTGGTGTAGTTGGGAACGGTCAGGGTGAGGTTAATGGTTGGACTAGATGATCTTCAAGGTCTTTTCCAACCTAGATGATTCTGTGAAGCATCCTGCAACCAGTCCCAGCAGCTAAACCCGCTTCAGGCTGTAGCAGCAGCAGGGGACCTTGGGCACCAGCAACCCCTTGAATGAGGGAGATTAAAATGCCTCAGAAAGCCAAGACCTGAGGAGCATCCCAAGCATTAATGAACTTATTACAGATGCCTCTAAGACAGAAACAACAAGTTTGCCCTTGCAGCAGCAGGCGAAGCTGCAGGAGTCCTTGCCAGAGGGTGTTTTTGATGCTCCATGTTCAGAGCAGAGCAGGAAAGGGCAGTTTTGATGCCACATCTTTGGAGCAGGGCATTAAAGGGCAGTTTTGATGCTATATGTTTGAGCCATGGCCTGAAGCAGCTGCACTTGACCCTATATGATGTAACCCCACAGACTCTGAGTTTCCTTCCTGTTTTTCCATTTTGGACATGTTTTGCCCCATCATTCCCCACCGTGCTGACAGTGCTGGAGGAAGGCACGTGGCACCTTCCCCCTGCCTCAGCAGCTTGCTCCCTGTGACGGCTCACGTGGGCCTGTCCCCACCACCCTTGACTCAGCTAATTCCCCTTTGCCTAAGATGTTGACCAAGCTCCTGCTGGTGCTGTCCAGGCATCAGCAAAGGCAATGGGTCTGAGTGGCAGAAGACGTCCAGGCCCACCATGGGTCTCTGTTCCCACCACCAGCTGCCACTGAAGCATCTGGCTGTGCACGGTAAGCACGGCTGAAGATGGGCATTTGGATCCCGGCACCGAGCCCAGTGGTATCTGACCTGCATAAAAGTGGGATGAATATCTGTACCTGCTTACTGGGCATGTTTTGAGCATCCCATAATTAATGTTTGCTCAGCAATTGAGTCTGACAGATGCTTAGTGTTATTAGCAAATGATGAGTAGCTGATGTTGCTGCTACGTCAAAACACCTAATTTCAGCATCTGGACTGAGTGAAAGGGCCAGGGGCCAGACTGCCGGTGCCAAGACCCTGCCAGGCTTTGCATCTTTGGAGGTGGCTTCCTAACGAAGCCCTGCACACAGGCATCCCTGCCCTGCCCCGGCAGCCCTGAGTTTGGATCCACACGGTGGCCACAGTGGCAGGGACAGGACCTGTGCTGGTGGCACGGTGAGGCCAGCAGCTCTCTTCGCTAGGGCAAGATGTGCAGAGCCCCCAGGCCTGGGGCAGCAGGAGTGGGCTTGGGGACACGGATGCAAGAAGATATTTTGGGGGCCTAATTCAAAGCCCACTGAAGGTTTCTTGTGTATTTAACCCACCTTGACGTACCAGATAAAAGTGCTGGATGTCCGTAAAGGAGCACCAAGTTACCCCAGCCCTCCTCCCACACTGCTGAACACGGGCGTGAATGACAAGTCCTCACACGAGGATGCTCATTTATTCATTTACTTATTTGTTGGGGGGAAGAAAGCATTGCTGAGAGTGATGCTTGTGAAGCTTTTAAAAACCCCGACTTTCTGATTACATGAAGATTAAAAAACTGAAGCCACTGTCATCTTTTTCTCCTCTGTCCATAATCCCACTGCCACCCAGCAGGCACTGCCCTGAGCAGCCAGTTTGTATTTTTTTTACCAGGCTGTTCTGGGGAGCTACCAGGGACGTGGGGTGCCGTGTCCCTGGGCAGCACAGTGTCCTCTAGTGGCAACCGCTCACATCCAGCTCTGGGGAAAGAAACCTGCAAATGAATCTTGGGGACTGCTTGATTCCCAGGAAAATTAGGAGCAGACTCCAAATTGCCACAGGAGAGGCATCGCTGCATGGGTGGGTGGTTTGGTGCCAGGCAGGGTCTAGAGCACACTCACGGACCCCATCTGCCTTGAGCAGCCACACCGGGGACCCCCACCCATGGCCCTGGAGTCCCATTTAAGCTCAGGCTGGGCACACAGTCCTGTCCTGGCCCCTGCAGGGCTGCCTGCAGCCCACAGCCCCGGCCCTGCGTGGCTTGTGCTGTGGGCAGCCCATCTCCTGTCCTCTCTCCCAGAGGCACATTGGAGCTATGAGGCACCTCTGGTGCCTGGGTGAACCTCAGAGCTGAGTGTCCTACGGGTCCAGGTCTCCTAAGGGCACTCTGTGAGCAGCCTGCAGGCCTAAGGAAAGGTGACATGTGCTAGAATCTCTTCTATAAGGAGGAATAGCTTGGGCTTGCTTTCTTCAACCTCATCATCCATTTCTAAAAAGTCTGTATGTCCTTGACAGCTTTGAAGCCTTTCTCCTTCTGCCGAGTTTGGATGGAGCTTCCTAAAGGACTTGCTAGCACATCATCCTCCTCAGGAAACCAAGCTGAGTGTGTCTGGTGACTCAGGGTCTTGAGGGCTTCCTTTAGGCAGAGGTCCTGGGAATACATCTTGGAGGCTGTGTGAGCACAGCCAAAGCTAGCATTTTTAGTGCTTGTTTTCAAGCTTCCTTTAGCTCATGTGTGGGGCAGTAGCTTTGTTTATTTCTTTCCAGAAGCGAAAAGTCTCCAGGTCCTACAGGGCAGGTAGGTGGTAGCCCTCAGTACCACAGCAAAGGTGCCCTTCCTTCCTGGAGCAGTTGCATCTTTTGGCTTTATCCTAAGACCTAAAGAACCACTTATTAGGAGCAGAAATGAGGATCAAGTCTGCATGGTAGTCCTTGCTCTCATGCAATGCTCTCACCCCCTTTCCCTGAGGTTTGCTTGCTGTGGGTTAGGAAATCCTTCCCTCTCCACCAGGTTTGCCTTCAACTGGCCAGGTCCCCTGTGCTGCTGGGAGGGAGGACTGCTGGCCTGCAGCCCATCAGCAGCAGGAGGGGACCCAGGCAGAGGGTACACCCACATTTCGAGCTCCCTGGATGTTATGAAGCCCATCGTCAAAGAAAATGTGGGGCTGGATCTGGGCGAGGATGGGGCCCTTGGGAGCCCCGTCCATGAAGAAAGCCTCGTCAATGGCCAGACCCCATTCCCGGAGCGTCTTGATGGCTCGGATGCCCATGTCCCGGCCGCTGCGGGCAGTCACCAGGTAGGTGCGGATGGGGGATTTTTCCTGGCTGAACTTGTTGCGCATCTTTCCAAGGTGCATGGCAAAAGCCTTCAGGGGACCCTGGAAACAGCAAGACACTTGGGTGTGGGTGGGAAACAAGGAGACATCTACATCTGCCTGTACAAGCCACTTGTCCCTCTTCCATGGTTTCTCAGTGCTCTGCAGAGCACAGAGTTGCCTGTGGGGTGCAGGACTGGCAATGCTGGGACTGGTGCTGTGCACTGGGGTGTTTGGGAGGAAGGTGAGAGTTGTGGTGCTTATCCTAATCCCAAGGTGACCAGGAAGGTACACCCCAGTGAGCAGTGCCTCTGGGTCTGAGTCCTGCAGGGACTTGCACAGCAAGAGGTCCCAGCCTACAAAAGGTGACAATGGGGGTAGCCACAACCCTGGATGTTTGAGAGGTGATGCTCACTTACAGGAGACATCAGGCCAGATCCATCTCCAGTGGGACTCCAGATCAGGCCCACACCAGGGACCAAGTGGTGGATGCAAAGGGAACCTATAAGAGTTTGCACTTTTTTGGCTACTCATGGCAAAGCTCTAGCAGGAGAGATGCTCATGGTGGGTGCAGAGCCTGTGGGTGGCCATGACAGTGAAGAGTCTTGCTCACCTCTCCCATGGGCACAGCCTCCATCGCCCGTTCGTACTGCACTGCCCCCTCCAGCCCCTGCTCCCGGAAGACCTGGTCTGTCTCATCGGAGAAGAGCACGGCATCCCCATCGAACACCACGCGGAGAGGGGTGCTGGGGGCCTGCACCTCTTGCTGGAAGACAAGTGCTGCGGAGACCCCTGTGAGACAGAGCGAACTGGGACTCAGGAGGGATACCCCCTCCTGGGGGCAGGTCCTCCCCATGTATCTGCTGTGGCCCCATCCCACACCCCAATATCGGGATCTCAAGCCAGGGGGCTTTCGGTGGGGCCAGCCCAGCCTCTCTAGGGCTGTGTTATCCCCTGATGGGGATGGACAAGAAAGAGCTGCTGCTCAGACACTCATGTCTGCAGAGATACTGAGCTCTGCTAAGAGGTGATGGGTAGTTGTGTAGGCATGAGCAGCCCTCCTCCTGGTGCTCGCTCACCCTGCCAAGCCTGGCTTTAATGCCCAGATTTAGCACCTCGTGCTGTGAGTAATAGGGACTGGCACCTCCACTTGATTGGGGTAATTGGCTTAATTACAGGTCTTTTCCTACAAGCTGCTCCCTGCCCGCCCTCATCCATGGACCCAGGCCCCCGGATGAGAGACTCTTGTCAGAGCAATGATGCTCTTCAAGGAGGCTCCAGGAATGTGCTGTGTAGCAAAGGAAATCCCAGGCTGCAGATGGCTTCCTTCTGACCTTGAAGGACCTGAGCCAACTGACGTGCTCATACCCAAGCAAATTAATAAGGACGCAATTAACCCCATTAGAGCTGTTGGGGAGACTGCACTCCTTCTGATGCAGGTCAAGCATGTGCTTTCATCTATCATGGAGCAGATGGTAACTGCAGGTACCAAAAAAGAAAATTCCTATAGCAACCTCACAAAGCCCTGGGAATCACTGATGTACTCGCTTTGATCCAGGGTGCAGCCATGGGCATCATCTTTGGTTAGAAAGGCTTAAATGTCAGGCAGGGAATGACCAGCCCGTGGCAGAGCTATGGCCAGAATTATGCATAAAGAGCTTGGTGACTTGTGAAGGCATCTGAGAAACCTTGGTGTATTTGCAGGCTACTGGTGGTGACAGAGATTGAACTGTGCAGAACTGTAATCAATGTGCCATTCACCCCCTTGCCCATGTGGGAGAATGGGCTCTGGCACTGCCTCTTGGTACTGAGCTGCTTGGGAAAAGTGTGGTGGGTTTGGGGACATGAGATGGAGGGGACAACGTACCTCTCCGGAGGGCGTTGCAGACATCTGTCCTGTCAGCTGAGAGAAAGAGCTTGACCCCGTGGGACTTCAGGTACTGTGTGGAGTCCTCATCGCTGACAAAGCAGAACTTGGAGATCTCCAGGCCTTCGGGTCAGGGGATGTGAGCAAAGTCTGTTATGGGGCAACATCCTCCTCGCCGCACCCACCTCTCCTCCCCAAGTCTCGGTGTGCTTTGCTGCAGAGCTCAGGGCAATTAATTCCCAGTGCTGCGTGGGGAACCCACCCATGTTCTTGCTGCATCTTCTTGCCCTTTTGCTCCTATGAAACTGCAGACTGTAGTTAAATATACTCCATCCCTCCTTTAAATGAGCCTTCCTGACAGCACTCTGGGATTTAATTTTTTTTAAAGAACTCTGTTTCTTTAGTCGCTGCCTGAGGATGCCCGGGCTGTGCAAAATGCTGACAGACTCCCTGGTGGGAAGGATATGGCTGAAGGGAGCTGGGTGCCACCAAGGAGCCTGTACTCTGGGCAAGCTGCATGGGCCTGGCAGGAATTGGGCTTATTTTCAAAATACCCCCTTCCCCTTGTATTCCCTGGCTTTGTATTTGCCAGTGATGCTCCACTGTGGTGCCTTATCTGTTTCACAGCCTCCCGGGGGGAGGGGGTCCCCCTTACCGTAGTGCTTGGTGCTGTTGATGATACGCACTCCGCTCTCTGGGCTGTTGTTGGAGAGCACCAGGATGTCGAAGAGGTCCTTCTCTGCTGGGTTGCTCTCCAGGATCTTCTTGTTCACATACTGTGCTGCCTGCGAGGTAAAGATGAGACTTTTTTGAAAGGGCATGACAGCAATGGTTTGCTGAGGCTCTTCTGCACTAACCTTAATGGTCAGTGGTTTGTGCTGCTGGATGTGGCAAGGCCAGCATGTCATGGAGAGCCAGACAGAGCAACCATCCTGCAAAAGCCATCGCCAGAAGGGCAGGGAAGAGGATACCCCACCAGGGGGCGGGTGGACATGTGGGACTGGTGAGGAGCACAGGTCTCGATCCCCTGCAACAAGGCCAAGAGGCCAGGACAGGCATATCTGCACCCCATGATGGGAGCTGAGACCTAAAGCTGGGAAAGCTGAGCTTTCCTCCCATCCTGCGAGTGTCTGCATGTGCCCCTGACCAGGCGTGGGGCTCACCTGGATGAAGGCAAAGGCTGTGCCTGGTTGCAGGGGCTTGTCTTGGTTGGATTTCTGGTGCCTTGTGTACTCCTCCTTGCCCTTCTCCAGGTAGAGCTTGTGCTCCTCCTCCAGGTTGAAGATGGCTCTGGTGGTCACTGCAATGACCAGTGCCTCACTGGGGTCTTTCTGCAGGACAGGGAGAAAAGAGGGGATAAGGGACAGCAAAAAAGGAGCTTGGGGAGGTGGGGTGGGCAGGGGGACACAGGGCTCCACTGACCAGGGCGGTGGGGTTGGGCATTGGAGGCATCACCCATGCGTCACCGTTCCTGATGCCAGAGGGCCTTTGGAGAAGAGGTACCAAGCCCAATCTTCATTTTCAGGCCACCAAGGATGAGGCAGGCAGTTGTGAAACCCTAACCTGTCTGGTAAGTGCCATATGCTCTGAGGAGAGCTCACACCAGCGGGGATTGCTTCATAATTTTGCTGTTTGTGTGCACAGCACAGCCACGGCCAACTCTTAGTTCTGAGCTAGGCACTGCTGGGTTTTACCCTTCATTTGTGTCTGTTCTGGAGTGTTTAATAAAGTGTCTATATATGTACAGAAGCTGTTGCTTTCTCCCTGGCTGCTCCAAAACTTGTGAGCAAATGCACCCATCCAGTCCATGCAACTGGAGGTTCAGCCCATGTGGAAATCACACGGACCTCACTGGGACAAGGTGCCCAGCAGCCCTGGGACAGGCCACTTCTGCTGAAGCCTAGACACAAGCAATTCAGGCCACCGCAGCTGTGGGCTGTGGTGTGTCCTCTCCTGCAGCGGCATTTCAAAACTTGCTTTAGAAATACAGGATGTACGTTTTGTAACGAAGAACCTTTTACCTGTTTCACATCAGTGTTTATGACTGTGCCTTCAGGCTCTGCCATCTTCGATTTCCAGCCTCAAAGAGAAAGTATACAGTTAAACCAATACATTATAATATTGGCTAATCGAGAGAGGGGGAAGAGTGGAAAGGAGAGAGGGGACATCCTACCCACGAAGCGGAGCAGTCCAAATGAATCTGCTTCTGCTGGCAACAGCTTTGCTCTGAGAAAACCTAGTCTAAAAATTCCAGTTAAATATGGAAAAGTAGCTTTTCAACCACAGACCACTGCTTTTTGGTTGTTTGTTTTTTTTTTTTCCTTTTTCTTTTTCTCCTCCCTGAGGAGTATTTTTCTCTGGGGGGAACTGCTGAAAGCAGTTGTGGAGCTTTTTCCCCAGCAAAATAAGTCTGTCTTTAAAAGCCAAAATAGGTCAGACCTTATGGGTAGGCTTCTAGTTCAGATCCTTATTGCCTTTCTTGCTACTTTTGCTTGAATAGTGAATTTGTATCCACAAATAAGCAAGTTCACCGCAGGAGCAGCTCATTTGCAGCTGTAAAAGGCCTGAGTAAGTAGAGATGTGTGGTGAGGGCTTGGGTGCAGGACGGGGCTGGTCTGCCCCTCCACAGCCCTGTGAGCCAGCCAGCCACTCCACTGAAGGTCTTGGTGCAGGCTGGGCTAAACCAGCTCTGGCAGATGAAAGTCTTGGAGGAGGGGGTTACAGGGTCTGCCTCTGCCTAGCAGCTGAATCATAAATCCCATTTATTTTTGCATACTCAGGTCCCGTGGTTTCTGTAACCACCACGCTGTACACTTCATTTCTATGCACTAGTCAGTGTTAGAAGTGGACTCTTAGGATTCAGCCTGTAGAATGGGACTGCTCCCATTCCCACCAAGGGGGATCCCACAGGGGTTATTCCCACCCAGCAGACCCTACAAGGACACTGCAGGGTTTCTCTGAAGAGCAGAGGCAGCTATGACTGCTCTACACAGATGTGCTGGGAATGGCAAGGGGGTTAAATCCTCATTTACCAGTTCATGTGCTACCTAGTTAGTGGGCTGTGGGGCTGTGCAAGCACAGACCAGAGCCAGTACGCAGTGGGAAGGCCAAGTCAGGGTCTCCAGGGAGACCTGTCTTTTGCCCCAGTTTTCTTTAATTCATTTTTATTATTCAGGGACTGCAAAGTGGTGCCTGGGGTGGTAGGAAATGTGCTTGGCCAATGCTAGCCAGGAGAGCAAGAGCCTTGCCATGGGGGGCTCAATGCTTGCATGTGCCCTCTCTGACTGCCCGGGGGTGGAAAGCCCTGCCAGCACAGCTGCCCCCCAGCCAGGGGTGCCTGGAAATCCAGGAGATGCTGAGCATCCCTCCGCTTCCTCCACCCACACCCCGTGCTGGAAAGGGGTCTCCTTCCCGAGAGCAGGGCAGGGGGTGGCAAGCACCAGCCCCGCTGAGCAGGGTGAAGCTTTCCTCTGACAGAATTTCAGCCAAATAATTTTCTGAAAGTGAAAATTAAACGAGAGGAGGCAACAGAGCTGAGCAGCCCTTCCTGGAGGGAGAACACCGCCTCCAATTTCTGCTCTGTTTTCCCAAGCGCTGCAAACCAAGTCTGACTTCTGCTTTCCCTCCACCTGCCCCTAACAACGGCGGCACTGTGTAGCACAGAGATACCCGTCCCCAGAAGCCTCCGCCGCCAGCACCCCCCTGCACGCAGTGCCGGACGCACAGGAAAGCCTTTCGGGCGGATGCTTGCTGGTCCCGGCAGCCCAGCCTACTGCTGCGCAGCACGGCGCAGACGTTACCCCCCTGCACACAGATTTTGCTAGAGAGAAAAGGCAAAACTCACCGCGAGCGCTGCCTCTGCTCCCCAGCGCAGCCTGTCCAGCGCCAGCATCCAAACTTTGTCCAGGATGCTGCTGTTTCTATTTCCCCCTCCCCGTGCTGTCGGGAAGCAGGCAGGAGCCAGACTGGGGTGCAGCTCGTCTCCCCGGTGTGCTGGGATTTGTAGGCAGCTGGGCAGGTTGGCGTCGTGCCCAGGCCAGACTGCATTTCCCAGCTGGCGCCGCACCGCCGGCTCACGGCCGCCCAGGCCTGGCCACGGCCACGGCCACGGCCACGGCCACGGCCATGCTCTGGGAAAGGGGCTCAGCCCTGGTCCTGCTTTTCGGGGTCCCCCAGAGCTTGTGCTCACTCGCCGCTCGCTGCCCACAAGTGCTGCAGCGATGTCTATTTCTGTAGCTGGGGTATTTATAGCATGTCTCCAGACTTCTAATTTCCCAGCCCTTGAAGACATAACGGTTTGTTTTCAACTGAAAATACAGGGGTATCTGTCCAAGAGCAGTTGCAGCGTATGCAGGCAGCTGCAGGGAGCTGGGCCAGGGAGAAGGGCTGGTGCAGAGCGTGGCAGGGTACACCCGGGGCTCACCACGTTGGCACTTCTACTGTAGCGTTTTTGAGTCCCTTCTCCCTTGGTTTCTGAAAGCCACCTCTTACACACTGCCCTGAGCAGGCGTGATTTTGGGGCTGGGAATCTTGCTTTTCCGGGTAGGCTGTGCAGCTCATGGTGCTGGGGTATTTCAACACCCCCTTTTTGACCAGGAGTGAGATTTGGTGAAATTGGGGAGGGGGGGGCGGCGGTGTGTGGGTGTGTGTGTGGTGTGCAGCGAGGGCTGACACAGAGAGGCAGCTGCCATCCTGCAGCTTTTCCCTTGCCCAGCCAGGGCACATCCCTGCCCTGCTGCTGGGAGATGGCCCAGAGCAGCAGCCTCCCCAGCCTGGCTCCTGCCAAAGACCAAACTCACCTGTGTTAAGGCCAAGTGGCCATCCCCCTGTGTGGCACCAGGTTATCATGAGCATCACCACATCTCCCAGTGGGCTGCACCTGCACCGAGATGCTTGCCACTAGCAAAGAGCTTGTCAAAAAGGCTACTGATATGCTCAGCTTTCAGCCCGCATATGCAACCCCCCTTCCCCTGACTGATTTTATTGGACGTGTTCCCTTTTCCCCCTGTCCCCCTTATGCATTTCTCCCACACATCCTCCGGGAAGGCTAGTTTAGAGCAAAAAGTTTGGCATCGATGTCTCCCTCCCAGAGGTTTGCTGCAGCATCATTCCTGCAGTGTCTCTTGCTCCTGGAGATGATGCTCCTCTGAGCAGCAGGAGTGCCGGGTGCTTGTGAGCAGGGCCATGTTTTGGGTGGCCGAGGGGCAGTCCCAGCACCTCTCCCCTGGCCAGGCACCTGTTGTGGCAATGCCTTGGTGGCCATGTGAAAATCTAACAGGACAGGTGAGCCAGCGTGGCCAGGCAGAGCTGGGATGGTTCCAGTTCCCAGGGGCCTCTCCTCACATCTCCACGTCAGCCATCAACCACTGGCGGTTCTGCTCCTTTCTTCTGGCATTGCCCCAAATTTCTGTGGTGACCAGGCAGGTTTTGGGCTGACTTTGCTGAGTTGGCAGCAAGGTAAGAAGTGTGCAAGCATAGATTTAATGTGACAGGAGTGCTGTTGAAATTGTTTCTGGTCATGTGGCTGGTGCTGCTCCTGTTGGTGCTGGGGGATTAGGCCACCCAAGCAGTATCCCCTCGCCCTGCCTGTCCTCCACTGCATTGGAGCAGAGAATCCCCGTTCATCCCCACTGCCACACGTGTTTCCTGGGCCCTTACATGGTGCGTTAAACCACTGCATGCCCCTGTGGGCCAAAGAGCTGGGCTCCCCAAGTGCAGAGCTCTCCAGGGGGGATGCAGCCATGCACCCATCCCCTTGCAAGCTTCCATCCTCTCCTGCTAAGTGCCTCTGGCCACCTGGTCCAGCTCAGCACCTCTGCAGGGAAACTTGGAGAAGCAAATTTGCTGGGGCACAGAGGTGGGACAGGATGCTCACCGGCTTCTTGCCTGCAGGAGGGCAGATTTTGCTTCCTGGTCTGGCAGGGAGTTCCCCACTGGCTTTTCGCCTGCATGAGCACCTCTTGGGTCAGCGGTGAGGTGGGGCTGATGGAGCTGCTGGGGCCGCCCGGTTCCTGGGCTGGCAAAGCAGACTTTCCTGTTTCGGCCGTGTGGTGCAGCCACTGTCCCTGGTGCACCAGCAGCGCCGCATCCAGCGGGGTCCTGTCTCACTTCACAGCATGCTCCTGCCATGTGCGGCAGCTGAGCCTGAAGCCTACACAGCGGGGAAGGGACGCTGAGGCTGGGAAGGACACTCGTGGGTAAGTCTGGTTTCAGGGGCCTACTCAGTGCAGGATGAGAAACAGGGCTCCCCCAACCCCTTTTCCAGGACCAGGGATGCTCGATGCTCCGTTCAGAGCCTACTGAGACTGTGCTGCCTCTCCCAGACCACAGCAGGGCTTTCCCCATCATCCCCAAACCAGCAGCTCAGGTCACCCTGCAGGGCTGAAATGATTTTTTTTTTTAAATCAGGGCCAATGCCAAACTAATATGACATAGCCCATGAGGGTCTGGCAGGGAAAAAATGCTGAGACACCTAATTCTGTGCTGGGTGGGTGCCTGCTCACCCGCGCTGTCATGTTCACCTGCTGCCACAGCCCAAAGCTACGGCCTGGCACCTCCTAAATATCACAGGCACGTCACTGGCCACTGATTTCCGCGTGTGGGGCAGGAGAAACCGATCACTAAAGCTGCTGGTGGTGAGGTGGCAAGCAGAGATGAGGAGTCTGACAGCACAGATGTCCCAGGTGGCCCTGGGCAAGTCACTTAACCTGCACCTCATTTGCCCCGTGATGATGCCGCAGGGATGACAGCAATTCTCCTGTCCCTCCAGCCCTATGCTCACAGGTGGCAAATCCTACTGTTGGAAAAATTAAAGCCTCTTGCTGGCTCAGCAGAGAGAAGCACTGAGGTGGTTCCTCCCCAGGAGGTTCCCTGTGCAGGGAGCCACGGCCCTGTGGGGTGGGCAGAACGTGGGCAGAGCGCAGGCAGAGCGAGGTGGCGTTGGCTGCTTGAGCAGGGACCCGCTGGGACACGGCGCAGGTGGTGGGGCAGCCAAGGCAAACAGGCACGTACCTGCCAGGCTTGGGCACAGCGGGTGCTGCCAGCGCCGAGGTGGCTGCAGACCCGCTTGCCATGCAGCCTGGCTCCTGGAGTGCCGCTCCCGCTGCCGCTCCTCACCCGAGAGGAGGCAAAGAAGGAAGTTTTGGCTATGAGGAAGCGTTCATGCTACAATAAGAGCCTTGCTACAGGGTGAGCAGTAGTGAAAAATCATTCTGCTTTAAATTTGAAGCCTTCCCTTAAGCTGCGTCAGTGTTGCTGTGTGCACAGGTCGGGATTACGCAGTTTCCGAGCTGGCGTGACCCCAGTCCGGTGGCACCACTGCCACTTGCAACGTGGGCACCAGTCCCGCTGCAAGCCCAGGAGCAAACCCTCCCACTCCTCAGCCCTGTGACAGGGGGGAAATAGCCCCAAAAGGGTGTTACCTAACCGTGGGGCTTGTCTAGGGCTGAGCAAACCCTTCAGCTCATGCTGCCTGGCCAGGGAGGAACCAGCACAAAACAGATCTTGTTGTTGTTTTTTTTTTTCCCTCTACAGCCAGGTGATTCCTTTTAAGAAAAGGAACCAAAGGAAAACCCTAAGCCATCCCCTGCTCCCTCCCCTTTCCGAAGGCAGGCATGCAGGGATATAAAGGGGAAGGCTGTAGGGCGTGCTGGCTCTGAGCCTTCCCTGCCTGCGGCTTCCTCCCGCTCCATTTCACACCTCACTGCCAATGTGGCCAAGCCCTAAATGCTTACGCTGAGGTCTATGTTTTAATTGTGTTTGCTCTCATTAGAGCCCTGGGCCAACGGCAGCACACGCACTTCTGGAAAGGAAATCCCCACCCAGTTAATTTTGCTTGTGTCCGCAGGTCACCCCAGCTTAGCCATGGCGGTGGCAGCCAGGCAAGGCAGGGCAACAGCCTCCCCACTCACTAGTAGCCCCGTGGCCACCACCACGGCTCGGCCAGGCTTCCTGGGTGGCTGGCTTAGCCGAATCCCATGTAAGTACGGCAGCACTTGCCCTGCTCTCTCAGGCAGTGTTATCTGGTGTGTCCAGGACTCTGAGGCTGTGTATGCTCTTCTCCCTCCCTCCAACACCCTTTCTGCTGCAGGTCCATGGGGTGGGGATGCTGCAGGGTGGCACCACACCGCATCCTTGTGAAGTGCTAAGGCTTGGACAACAGGCCCAAGGCAGAGCTGACCTATAGATGAATTAGTATTATAACTTAGTATTGTACTAAGTTATAACAACCTACTTATGCTGATGTAAAAAGTGCTAAAGCATTGAAATACTGAAGCCTGAACAACAGGCCCCAAGCTGAAGCTTAAGGATTTAGCGCTTAAGAATATGGTGTAGTTGGGAACTGTCAGTGCTAGGGGTGAACGGTTGGACTAGATGATCTTCAAGGTCCTTTCCAAACTAGATGATTCTGTGATTCTGTGAAGCTGCTTAGTATGTAATTGTTAACAAAGCATGTAAGCTCGCTAGTGAAAGATGCGGCTTAGAATATAATCAGTAGTGAGGACAAAATGCTGAAAGAATGTATCCAACTTCCCTTGTTTAGCCTTGTTCAAGGCTGAGGAGAACCCACGTATTTGGCCTTGTTAGGAACTCCTTTGGTCTTCCCCTGAGAGCCCTGGCTAGGCTTTGGGTGGAATCCAACAGGAGAAAGAAACCAGAAATTTTCCGCTCCAAACAAAGGTGCCAGCTATTCTGGCCTGTCGATCTCTGGTATACAAGGCTGGACCCACTCACAGAGACTTTGGAAGCCTCTCCTATGGGTGGACCCACTTGCCGGGACAGGCTCTCCAAACCCTCGCTGTAACCGGGGCTGCCCAGCAGATCTGGGTGATGGTAACGTATGCAAGTGGTGATGGATCTTTCTTAATCACTATTCTCTTTCTCAGGTAGTAATGATTTGATGCATTACCCTGTATTTTCCTATTTGTTGCTTTAGGTGCATTATTCTGCCTTTTCTTATTGCATGTTTTACTCTGTTATATTATTTAGTTATCACTAGTAAAATACGCCTACTCTTTTCACTCTGGTGTCCGGGTTTAATTGATATCCTTAATCAGCAAAACACCTTGATGTCCACTTGGGGAATGGTCTCCAGCTGCAGCCTCCCTGCATGGGGCCTGTCCAGGATTATAGGGGCAATTCTGAAAGTACAACTCCTTAATGCTGAGGTTTAAATGCACTCTATAT